TAAGCGCCACCTTCGGTTTGAGAATGTGGTCGATCTCCGCATGAGTCGTACCGTTGGGTGACTCCCATGTTCACCGTCGTTGCTCTTTCTTCATAAAAATGGAGTTGCTATAAAAAAGTCGTGCGGCAGATAAAAGCCCAACAAGACGGTTACCATTCTAATTCCGGAGTTGTGATCCAAATCTCCCGATCCTGTGCTCCCCTTCTTCTGGCATCCCGATTTTCGCATTAAAGTCACCCACGACGAACTTATAGAAGGAGTTTTCTTTACACATGACTTCCTCCAAATCCTCATATAAAGAATCAAGTTGCGAATCATCAGCTGCTGATGTTGGAGAGTAGCAGTTGATGATAGTGATGGCTTTCTGATGCAGAGGACGGAGTCTAAGGATAGCCAGGCGAGGTGACAGGATCTCATGCGAATCGAGAAGATAGACAACAGATGGGTGTACGACAAATCCAAAGCCTCCAATGTTCCGTGATGGAACTTTCTCACCACGAATGATGAGTGTGCCATCACCCACTCCATCTTCCTGGACTTTGTTTCCTGCAGGGCGATTAGGTGGCAGTTGATGCGCCCTGCAGCTTCGAGAAGGGCGTGAAGATCGGCGTTGGTGGAAACTGTCCTGGCATTGTAGGTGCAGAGCATGAGACAATCTCGTGCCGAGTCGTTGACGTGTCCTTTTGGTAAAAAAACCATGGCGTCCTGTGCACCCTGACACTGGTCTTGATGACATCCGACGCCGTAGATATGATCCAGTGTGCAGGGCTTCTTTTCCTATTACATGCTGTAAGAGCAATAAGAGGAATCTCCCCAAACATTAGCAGTGCCTTGCCAGGGCCCTGCCAGGCTTTCACCACAGGCAAACGCTGTGACCTTATGTGGATCAGGAAGATATGTGCCACCTAGCGACTGAATCAGCCAGACGCTGGTGCTTCTGGCATGGCCTACTCGCTGGGTATCCGGGGAACTGGAAACGTCGAACTCCTTCTCAGCTTGGGAGACCCTGCTGGAGGATAAACCTCCGCTGTACTTTGCACTTCGACACCCAGAGTCACCCCCACGATAGGGCGGTAGACCATCACGGGGGGATTCAGAAGCATAATAAGCACTTGCATGGTAACGTATTTACGAAGAAGTTAATCAGAAAAGGAAAATTTCTGGGCACTATAAGAATAATACTTTGCATCCATGGAGCTCAATCTCGTTTCTTTCT